ACGAAGGACACAGAATCACTGGCTGGGTGTTCTAAGGATCAATACTCTATGGGGGGGGAGGGGGAATGGTCATCTCTCGGATAGTGATATGGGGTCAGGAAGATGAGTTTTGATGGTGATTAGGGTGGTGGTGGTGATGATGGTGGTGATGGTGGTGGTGATGGTGATGATGATGGTGGTGGTGGTGGTGGTGGTGGTGGTGGTGGTGGTGGTGATGGTGATGGTGGTGATGATGATGGTGATGATGAAAATGATGGAGATGGTGATGATGATGATGGTGGCGATGACGATGAGAATAATGATGATTATGATAATAATATTGATATCATTACTTCTAAGAGTGATAATAACAATTAATTGAATTCATAAATTAACTGTGTTAATCATCATCACCATCATTTCCATCATTGTGATAATGATAATGTTAACAGAAGTAGTAGTAGTAATAATGATAACCATAATCATAACCATATTGATAATGATAATGACGATGATATAAATCTTCATTGTGAATATTTGTTAATTCATCATTAAATAAGTATCTTACTTCAAAGTTCATAAACAGTTGATGAACATGTTACCCATAAAAAACATATTTTCTTAGGCTTTCATGCAAAACCATGTAATATTTAAAGAGAAAATGCATCTTTATCATCAGAATATTGGCATAATCTGTCCCGATATAAAGACAGAATGTAAATGACCAAACAATTAAAAAGATAAATACGTAAATAAACAGATAAACAAATAAATAAATAAACTCTCGCTAGCCATAAAATAGAATGCCCAAGGAAACGGTTACTTCAGTTTGACAGGTCCATAATATTTAGAATAATTGTCACGAAACGATAGATTGACACCGCTAAAATAATTATGGTTGAGTATCCCTACAAGTGCTGTAGACATAGACACTCAATGCAGGAATAGAGAAATTGGGAGGGAAAGGGAGGGTGGGAAGGAATAGAGAAATTGGGAGGGAAAGGGAGGGTGGGAAGGAATAGAGAAATTGGGAGGGAAAGGGAGGGTGGGAAGGAATAGAGAAATTGGGAGGGAAAGGGAGGGTGGGAAGGAATAGAGAAATTGGGAGGGAAAGGGAGGGTGGGAAGGAATAGAGAAATTGGGAGGGAAAGGGAGGGTGGGAAGGAATAGAGAAATTGGGAGGGAAAGGGAGGGTGGGAAGGAATAGAGAAATTGGGAGGGAAAGGGAGGGTGGGAAGGAATAGAGAAATTGGGAGGGAAAGGGAGGGTGGGAAGGAATAGAGAAATTGGGAGGGAAAGGGAGGGTGGGAAGGAATAGAGAAATTGGGAGGGAAAGGGAGGGTGGGAAGGAATAGAGAAATTGGGAGGGAAAGGGAGGGTGGGAAGGAATAGAGAAATTGGGAGGGAAAGGGAGGGTGGGAAGGAATAGAGAAATTGGGAGGGAAAGGGAGGGTGGGAAGGAATAGAGAAATTGGGAGGGAAAGGGAGGGTGGGAAGGAATAGAGAAATTGGGAGGGAAAGGGAGGGTGGGAAGGAATAGAGAAATTGGGAGGGAAAGGGAGGGTGGGAAGGAATAGAGAAATTGGGAGGGAAAGGGAGGGTGGGAAGGAATAGAGAAATTGGGAGGGAAAGGGAGGGTGGGAAGGAATAGAGAAATTGGGAGGGAAAGGGAGGGTGGGAAGGAATAGAGAAATTGGGAGGGAAAGGGAGGGTGGGAAGGAATAGAGAAATTGGGAGGGAAAGGGAGGGTGGGAAGGAATAGAGAAATTGGGAGGGAAAGGGAGGGTGGGAAGGAATAGAGAAATTGGGAGGGAAAGGGAGGGTGGGAAGGAATAGAGAAATTGGGAGGGAAAGGGAGGGTGGGAAGGAATAGAGAAATTGGGAGGGAAAGGGAGGGTGGGAAGGAATAGAGAAATTGGGAGGGAAAGGGAGGGTGGGAAGGAATAGAGAAATTGGGAGGGAAAGGGAGGGTGGGAAGGAATAGAGAAATTGGGAGGGAAAGGGAGGGTGGGAAGGAATAGAGAAATTGGGAGGGAAAGGGAGGGTGGGAAGGAATAGAGAAATTGGGAGGGAAAGGGAGGGTGGGAAGGAATAGAGAAATTGGGAGGGAAAGGGAGGGTGGGAAGGAATAGAGAAATTGGGAGGGAAAGGGAGGGTGGGAAGGAATAGAGAAATTGGGAGGGAAAGGGAGGGTGGGAAGGAATAGAGAAATTGGGAGGGAAAGGGAGGGTGGGAAGGAATAGAGAAATTGGGAGGGAAAGGGAGGGTGGGAAGGAATAGAGAAATTGGGAGGGAAAGGGAGGGTGGGAAGGAATAGAGAAATTGGGAGGGAAAGGGAGGGTGGGAAGGAATAGAGAAATTGGGAGGGAAAGGGAGGGTGGGAAGGAATAGAGAAATTGGGAGGGAAAGGGAGGGTGGGAAGGAATAGAGAAATTGGGAGGGAAAGGGAGGGTGGGAAGGAATAGAGAAATTGGGAGGGAAAGGGAGGGTGGGAAGGAATAGAGAAATTGGGAGGGAAAGG